GTCTAGCTAGTATCAGAGAATAATTAAACAAATAAAACCACTAAACCTAGTAGGATAAACCAGCAGAAAACCAGATAATATTCTACTGCAATCCTAGAATAGGATCTTGCGAGATTCTACAAGATCTGACTACAGGATCCTATAAGAATCGTACAGTAGGATTCTTTTTCGTAGGATCTTACAGAATCCTATAGGATCCTAAGTTAGAATCTTATAGGATCCTACGGTAGGATTGTTTGACCTGGATCCGAACGACTTCAGAACATTAGCACGCACCCTATTTTATTTGCGCTGTCTGTGAAAGTCAATAAAATTTTAAGAATAAATATAAAGTGCTGGCTTCTCAAAAGACTCTGTAGAATGAAAATTAAGCAAAGCTTTAATAATAATCTTGAGCACAGAGTTAGCATTGTGAAGAGGATACTCCTGGCTTTATTTTACATAGCGATTATTTTCGTTATTAATTTCTTAAATTTTTTTCTAGTTTCGAAATCAAAATCCTCTATCCAAGGGTAGTGGTATTTCTGACTAATGTTTGAACAGAAGAATTCCAAGCAAACTTGATATGTATATTATTTCTTGACTTTAAGTACACAGCAGATTCATAATAGACGTGTAACATGAGAAAGCTATTTCAAGATCGTTAGCAAGAATTTTGTTTTTTAAAAGAAACATTTCTCTCTAAAAATATTGAAATTAGCTATTTTTTGAGAATTGGATAGACATGCATGATAACGGCTTTACCTTGGTCATCAAAGATTTTCTAGGGTTTTTTGATAGATACAATTCGATAGTTATTTTCCTTCCGTAATGTACTATTTCGTAATTATACACACTTTTCCTTCGTAAGTGTTGACATTAGCGTTCAGTAACGTTGTGGAACCATCACCATCGATAACAATCCGAAGAATATGACCCCTTTCGGCGTGCACTGCATAAGCTTTTTCATGAACCATACTATTTTTCATATCCGTCGTTCCATCGCCACAAATTTGATTCTACTTATTTTTAATAAACAGTTCAAAATCACTAAAAGTAAATTTCGCTATAACACCTAAGTCAGACATAGTACTCTCTTTTTATACTTATACTTATTATTATACTCAAACAAATGGAAGCAAAACTACATGACAGGGTAGTAAACAAAAAACTGATTTATCTTGGTGCTGTCAGACATTTTAATAAGAAGAAAAAGTGTGTATAACTATGAAATAGTACATTACAGAACAGAAAAAACGACCGTATTGTAGCAAAACGTCAAAAACCTTTGAAAAACCTTAGAAAATTTTTCAAGGCTAAGACACTTATTTTCTTTTAAAAACCTTATTTTCTGTAAGTGGGTGTGTAGTTTTCTCGAAATCCTATTCCCAGAAGTTTTAAAATTATTTTGAGTTAGCTATGCGAAAGAGCATCGCTCTTAACTACTGAAGTTTAACAAAATTCGTACTACCGATCTTCAGACAGCTTTTTCATGTTACATATCTGTTAGTTTTCTTTTTTAAGATTAACTACAAATACATATATTTTTAACAGAGTCCAGCCTTCAGACTTTTTCCACATACATTTGCAGTCTTAAGGTCTCAATGGATCCATCGGTCATGATGTACCGGACTTCCAACCCTTTTTAATATAGTTGAATGCTTGTTCTCCGTCATCCGTTATGAATAATCGCTGTCGCCAAGCTTGAGTTGGCGATTGCGCCAACCATCTCTCAACACCACTTTTATCTCTCGTGTAAACAACAATCGGTGTCGAAGAAATTTGGTTTTCATCAATTAGGTCTAACATATTAAGTGGATTTCTGTTTTCCGACTGATAATAGCCACGACAAATAATTTGAAATGGTCGACAGTTTTTAATGTACTGAATATTTTTAGATAAATATTGTTCAGCCATCGCGATTGTGTCACAAAACGTAATGTTAACACCACTTTCGGCTTTTAGATGTCGACAGAGCGGATCTTCTTTTACCTTCTCACTATCAACCCACAGAATGTGTGGACCATTTGAGGTTTGTGGTTGCTTCTCTGTTTCTTCTGTCTTTTTTGCTTCAATTGCGTAGTTGGTATCGGCTAAGTTCTTGTTCTTGTCCCACCCGTAAATATCGGTGGTGTCCATTGCATTCCATCCCCAATTCGATGGAAGAATGGGTAAAAACGGTGGGGCAGAAGTGCCTTTCCAAACAGGCGCTGTTGTCGGATATGGTAGTGCATTTGATTGTACTGTCTGAGCGTCGTCTCTTCTCACGGCTCGAACAGCATGCGCTTCCAAACAAAGATCTTTATTGGCCATGTAATCATACGGAATATAACAGTAGCCTTTATCACCCTATAACACATAAAATCAATTATCCGTATAAAAGGAATTTGAAATATGGTCAACTATCTGCATGACATGTGTCGGAAATGATGATATCTGAAGTTACTAAGGTCTGTATCTTAGATGTTATTTTGCACTAACCCATTTCTCTCCATAAGAGTTTCTGACAATGAAGCATTTAGATCTATCACTATATCCCACGGCTAACATTGCGTGCCATCCATGACCATTCGAACCCTCTTTTTCATTCTCTCCGGGTAGAGGAACCCTTCCCTTCGTTTCAGGGTCATCTGCTTGGCCAAACGATTCAAATAACTGAATTCCAAACACAAACGGAAAGCCCCGAGCGAGACACGCTTTCATGGTGTTTAATTCTGTATCGACGGATAGCTTCTCGGATACACGATATCTCATAGCTTCTTCGTAAGCTTGTTTCGATGGTTCTTGACCGACCATGCTTGGATCATAAGGCCATGTTTCTTCCTTACAACAGCCAAGCTGTTCTAGTGCTTCGACAGCTGCCACAATTGTTGTTCCGCCATCCTCGTAGCAATTTCCCTCTTTAACTCGAGCATTGTAATAAATAAACAAACGACTAACATCAACATGTTTACTGCTGTTTTTTTTAATCAAAAATTCATACGCACCTACAGGCAGAGGAGCAATTTAAAAAAATCAGATTAAAACTATTTGCTCAACTTACCGGCTAAAGCATTTCCAACACTACAAAGATAAAGACTAATATTATTAATGAACCTCTTTATGCATAAAGAAATAACGTGTTTTTTACCATGATTGTAAAGTTCCTTGACTTTCAACTGGTGTCATCATCTCACGTAAATCCACTTTTTTGGGTATTTCTGCACACCCAAATTTTGGAATGGACGAAAACTTTTTGGCTGTTGACGGTTTTGACGATGGGCGAAAACCGCCCAGAGGATACTGTTCACCAGTTTCTTTGTTTGTAAAATACAGTTCTTTGGACATGATTGCTTATTCAATTTTCTTGAGAAAAAAGAGACTTGTAGTGAACATGAAAGCTTATGAACAAAAATAACTGATGTATCGCTTTGCTTCGACTATAGTTTAACTAAGTAATTATGTTAAATCCATCAATCACTTCTCTCAGTCTAGTTTAAAGGGAATAGGAAGATTAAACCTTAAACTCACGAGTTCTGCTAATGATTCCATCCCATCTACTCAGAAATGGGATGAAATATAAGCGACAATATTAGGTTTTTTCCATTATTTTATTATGAGGTCGCCTGCACAAGTTCTAATCTCCGATTGTTTTAAACTATTATCTGAAAGTTACTTGCGGCCCAAGGAAGCATCGTGTCAAACATAGCACGTTTATGTCAATAAGTAAACGAAAGAAATAGATTTTTTCTATTGATGCTCCGTATTAATTTTGCTCCTTCTGTTAACTACGTCGTTGTTAGGAAAAGATCCGACATGCTCTTTTTTTATTCTGTTTTCTTTATGATTTTTATTAAACAGGTTGTACAGGTGAATGTATTACACCTGTATTTGAAAGAGATGGTTTCAAGCCATATTAAAAAGTGATGCAGCATACATGTACGATTTTGTTTGAATATAATACACCTGCACACTGGAAGGATTTCGCCGTATAATCGTTGCAACGATAAACTGAGGTAAAAGCACACAAACAGCGTCTGAAGACGTCATGCGGAACGAACAAGTTTTGCAATTCTTGCTCCAATAATTACTATAAGTCCCTTTCTTTTTTAATCATCTCCGTATTTCGTTCGAAAGAGTCGAGATCTACAGTTATCGCTATGAAGGACGTCAATAGTGAGAACGAAGATCTTTGGAAGTGGTTAACAATACTTTTCCTCTACGATCTATCGTGCGATAAGACTACACTGAAACCTAGAATTCTCTAAACCCAAACTTTTACTACAGCTAGAGTTAACGTAAAAGTTATGCTACACTGTAATTTGGAATTATTTTCTACTTTATAGAAAATCGATCTGGAAAACCGCCAAGGATTTTCCAACTTTTATAAAATCCTCAGCGATTTTCTGACTGTTTAGAAAATGTTGATTTTCTGCTTTATAGAAAATCGACTCGATTTTCTAT